TGGGGGAGGAGGGTGCAGGTGGCGGGGCGCTCGGCGCCCCGGCTGTCAGGCTGTCTCTGTGCTTCTGCTCCAAGGGCTGGCACAATCCTCCAGACAGCACGTGCCAGGTACCCTGGAACAAGCAGCCAGGTTTCTCACCATTTCAGATGCCCTCAGGTTGAGAATAAAATGCACAAAAAGATCCGAGAGGCAGAGAGATTTTAACCAAAAACCCCAAACCAAACCAAAACACACCCCCAAAAAATCCTCCAAAACAAAAAACATCCTTCAGGGAACATAAGGCTAGAAACCAGTCAGCTAGACACAGTCATTGAAAGGTACTGACAGGCACAAGCATTTCCAGGAAAGAGGCCTCAAGCAATAAAAGGAGGAAAACGATCAAACTTCTATGGAGCATCAAGGAGGACGAGCACAGCACCACTTCCACTCACTTCTGTCCCTGAGCACGAGCGTTTTCTTCTCCCGTTTGCCCGTCTCGTGCAGTTTGCTCCTGATTATCGGCGCGCTGTGCTCGGGAGGATGGCGAGGGTTGTGCAGCACTGTCGATGAGAGGGGAGGCGGCGCAGGGGCTGCTGCAGCCCCTGACGCGGGAAGTCTGGTGTGATCATACCTGCGAAAGGAAAAACACAGCGCAAGCGTTACAAAGGCATAGGTCCCCTGATGAATATCTAAACAAAATAAAACTGAATAGCTACTTTTTTTTTTTTAAAGGATTGTTTTGACAAGTTGGCTGAACTGCTCAGTCTCTCTCAAGGCCAGACTAAAAGGTTTCTCAGTCTCAGAAAACGGAGGCCTCTGAAAGCACACCTCTATTTTCTTCTCCAGAGACACCTGTCACAGCTGAAAGAACATTATTCATGTGCATATTAAATTAGATCTTCGTCATCCCCTCACACAAACAGGTTTGCTGACATTTCTCAGAGAAGCAACATCAAAACGCTGTGCAGGAAGGAGTGACATTTTGTGATCTTTGTTTGCCCTTACTAGCAGCTACACTTAAGGCTTTATGCTCCCACACCACAGGAGAAGATGCAGTATTTGCATACAGGATAGGAAAGGACTCGAAACATCAGTAAAGCTCTTTACCAGCCGCAGTGCAGAAGCAATCAGTGCAGTAAGGAGGCTGGTCCATTAAAGCCATGGACACATCTGAACACTAGAATTTTTTTGATGGGAACAAAAGTATTCTCTGTATCTGTTTCTGGTGCTGTACTTTCGTGCCCACAGACGTGCCATAAGCACAAATGGCTTACGTACATCAAGTGCCCTGAACTCCAGCAAAACAGCTGGAGTAAAACACCAACACTCTTTGCAGCCATCACATCGGTCCAGTCAGCATATGACGTGGTCCCTGTGAATAACGCGGCTGTCAGCAACATTATATGTTACTAATTCAGCGTGAGCAGCTAATAGAAGCTACAGGAATCGCCAGTGCTCAGTGTCCTGATCCAAGTTTGGTACCACGAACTAAGCAAAGGAAAGGAAATAATAACTAAGTCGCTGCAACCACAGCAATGCCGTGAACTCCCCTGTTGGTGTCAGGGGAAGGTACAAACACAGATGTCTCATCCGTGACCAGAATTTTGCCACAAAGGAGCCACGGGCTTGCCCTGTAGCACATCCCTGATGGAACTTAACAACATTAACTAAGTTAGTTCACTGGAGCATTTGTCAAGGAGTTTTAACCAGAAGACTTCAGGAAAAGGTGTGTCACTGTGCAGCTTTCCCACCAAACCCAAGGGAGCACGAGAATAACACTTTAAGACAGAACTGAAAGTCCTTGAATTTGTGCATTAGAATCTGCGCAAAGGTGGCTACAAGCTACATCACAAGAACCGAGTGAAGCCCTGCCGAAACACTGCCCACTTCCAGCCACTTCAGAAACATGGAGAGCAAACCATACCACCAAACGCTATTTCCTGTGAAGTTGCACACCTGACGCTGTTTTTAGCATTTAATGGGTCTTACTATAGCCAGAACCAGATGAAAAACATATGTGAAAACTAAAGTTTAATTTCTACAGAGTAAAATAATTGTTGGAGCTAAAACAGATTAAAACTGTAAAACTGCATCCAAAAGCTGGTTTTGTTACTGGGAGAAAAAGCTCATATTTAACCCATTATTTCATTCCCTTTGTCTTATCTTCTCTTAACTCTGATTCCCTGGGGTTTAAAGCCAACTGCACATGATTATTATGCCCAGTTCTTCTGAACTCAGTATTCCAGAGTCGGATCTTTACCTGCACCGGGCTCCATAGGCACACTGTCCCTTCTGGTAATACTTGCAGATGGTGGAGGATTTGCTTGTAGATAAATCATGTGAGAACAGACACTTATTTCCCTCCCGACACACTCCTTGCATATAATACCTGGGGGAGAAGTAGTTGTGGTCAGAAGAGTCTGTTTTGTACAGATGAGCCTAAGAACGGTTTATGCTTCCCAGAGGAAGCTCTGAAAAGCGTTTCCCGTCCAGACCCGGCCTCGCTTCTTTCTCAGAACACAGGTCCCCCATCAGGGGCTGCATGCAAGGGGGGAACAGCCTCCTGCACCCGCAGCCCCGCCCCCGGCAGCGGCCGGCCCCGGGCAGC